GAAGGTGTGCGAGTTGGAGGAGGAGAAGAGGAGGAGGGGGAAAGTGATGGAAGTTAGGAGGAGTGGAGCGGGGAAGGAGGAACGGAGAAAGGTGATGGAGATACGACAATGAAGGTGATGGAGGAGGCAGTAGCGAGAAGAAGGAGGTGGGAGGAGGAGCGAGGAGGAGGGGGACGAGAAGTTGATGGAGATCTCGAATTGAAGAAGGTCATGGAGCGATAGGGGGGCCGGAGACGAACGTTGGAGTAGGGAGGAGGAGGCGGGAGAAATGATGGACTAGGGGAAGAGCGAGGGGAGAAAATGTTTGGAGTAGGTGGAGAAGGAAGAGTTGGAGCGAGAAGGAGAAAGGGAGAAAGGTGATGGAGTAGAGGAGAGGAAATTTGACGGCAGGTGTCGAGGCAGCCGGAAAAAGGTGATGGAAGACATCCGCAGGAATGCAGGTGATGGAGGCAGAAGTACGGAGGAGCGAGGCCGTAGGAGGAGGCAGGAAGTGAGGAGGAGGAGGCGGAGAAGGCTGATGGTAGTAGGGGCGCGGAGCGAGGGAGCGAGGGGAAAAATAGAAGCAGCAGCCGAGAAGGGGATGATGGAGATCGAATGCAAGGTGAGGGGAGGCAGGAGAGGGGCAGGAGGGGCGACGTCGAGAGGAGGAGGAGGACGAGGGGAGAAGCCGTAGATAGAGTAGTCCGGGCAGGAGGAAGGAGAAGGAGAAGGAAGAATGGTGATAGAGTAGGGGGAAGGAGGAGGCCAGGAGAAGGAGGAGGAGGGGAGAAGGTGTGGAGGTAGCGTGCGAGGAGGGGCCGGAGGAGGAGTACAGTAGCAGTGAGGAGCGGGAGGGCGAGCAAGCGTTGTGGAGTACGTGGAGGCAGAGGGAGGAGGAGGAGGAGGAAGGCGAGAGAGAAGAGGCGGAGGCAGGGGAGACGGTGCTGCTTTCCTTAGAGTAGGGGAAAGATGCAGCCGTGCAGGAGGAAAGAGTAGGAGGCAGGAGCGTGCCGAGTCGGGAAAGGAGGGCTTGAGTAGCGTGGAGGAGGCAGGAGGCAGGAGAAGAAGGGAGGCAGGAGCGGCGAATAAAGGTGATGGAGTAGGGGGAGGAGAAGGCACGAGGAGGAGGAGCAGAGCGTGTTGGAGTAGGGAGAGGAAGGTAGGGGATGAGGAGCAAGAGCCGGAGGGAAAGAAGAAGCCAGGAGCAGGAGAGGAGGGAGAAAGTGATGCAGATCGAATGCAAGAGCGGGTCATGGAGGAGGCAGCTAGTGGGCAGGAGGAGGAGGCAGGAGGAGGAGGAGGAGGAGGACAGGGAGGAGCGAGAAAAGGTGATGGAAGTTAGGTCGTGGCTAGAGGAGGAGGAGGAAGCGAGGGAGACGGTGTTGAGTATGGCGGCAGGAGGAGTGAGGAGGAGGAGGAGGAGGAGGGGAGGAGAAAGAGTAGCCTAGGAGAGGGCAGACGGGTTGGAGTAGGCGCAGGAGGAGGAAGAGAGGAGAGGAGGCAGGAGCAGGAGGCAGGAAGGAAAGTCTTGGGGTAGGTCGGAAGAGAAGGAGGAGGAGGAGGAGGAGGAAAATAAGAAGAGTTTAAAATGATGGGAGCAGCGGTGTTTGGCGAGTTATTAAGGGAAGTTAATGTTATTAGGTCAAATCATACAGTAATGATTACTGGTACTGGTAGTGGGGACTTTAGTCTACTGACAAGTTGTATTTATTAACGAGTCATTTTATTATTGAAACGCGCCCAAGTGCCTGTGGAGGAATGCTGTCAGCTTGACAAGAGCACTCTGGCTTGACTGTGGCGAATTGTTTTGATTGCTCTGATGTTTAACTTGACTGCCCCCTGGTGGAACAAGAAGACGGTGTATTGTAGTATTTTGCACGTCTCCCGAGGCTGAGTCCAGAGGAAATAATTAGCAAGTGTTCAAAAGTTCTGTTACCTGCAGCCCAAATGTTTCAGTATTATAGCAGTATGGATCTATAACGGATGTGATTAGCCGATACATCATCGTGCCCCTATGCTGTCAAATGGAAGTGGATTCGTGCCACACCAGTGAAAATGACCAAGCCGACGGCGCCGTCAGATCTGTTATAAGGCCAGGCAGTATTGGTGGGCAAGCAAGTTTAATCAATTCATGTACATTGTATTTCAATGAACTTAGACTTAGTTGTACTATCATGACGAGCAGAAACATATGAGATTTCCATTTTTGGATCTTGATGAATTAATTAACGAATAAAACTATTAGTATAGTATTACTACCACAGTATACTGTATATATAGCCTATGAGTATGAGTCATTGAGTATGATAGCTCCAGTACTACTACTAGTAGTAGTAGTAGTACTAGTACTATAGCCGATACTATAGCCTATAGGCTATAGCCCGCGTTCATTAACTGCCGCAGGGCTATAGAACATTGTCAGCTCGATTTCGCTTCGGCACTTGGTCCCGATTGGTTCCACGAAAAATGGCTCAGAAAACGCAAAGTGATCGGGCTTTTTAACACTGATTTACCTACATGGACCTACATCTCACCTATCTTTTTAAACACTTTTTCAACAACTTTACACTATGTATTTATCCTTTTATTACTCAAAGTCAGCACTACTGGCAATCCCGTTTTGAAATATTCTGGCGTGCGAACGCGTGACGTTACCGGATATGTAGGCAAAACACATGGCAGCTATGGTGCAATACCGGTGACGTCTCGCGTTCGCACGCCAGGATATTTCAAAACGGGATTGCCAGTAGTGCTGAATTTGAGTAATAAATGGATAAATACATGGTGTAAAGTTGTTGAAAGTGTTTAAAAAGATAGGTGAGATGTCCATGTAGGTAAATCAGTGTTAAAAAGCCCGATCATTTTGCATTTTCTGAGCCATTTTTCGTGGAACCAATCGGGACCAAGTGCAGAAGCGAAATCGAGCTGACAATGTTCTATAGCCCTGCGGCAGTTAATGAACGCGGGCTATAGTACTAGAGCTAAGCCTATGACTGAGTATAGAGTGTTCTGCGACTTGCACTAAAAATAGCAACATTACTATTAGTATTAATATATTATTAGTAATATTACCTACAATCTCGTGCCGCACGTCATACTGGTTCCCAGAATTGCGTACACATGTTACCAATATGTGCAATCTACCGATTTTATATGCTGTGGCTATATGCCCGGCAGCTGGGCACGGGCTTCGATTTCCTAAATGCTCGGCAGTTCCTAACCCTAACCCTAACCCTTGTTTACTTGAGATGATGCTAAAAATTAAAAACTGCTGGGCATTTAGGAAATCGAAGACCGTGCCCGGCAGCCGTCAGATATATGGCGGCTACCGGGCATGTAGCCACTCTGGATTTTATATCGATAGATTGTACATACGATAGTGTTATTACAGTAATCTATATTAGCAGTAAGTCTAGTGGATCTCGGTTTTGCATACAGGTTTACCAGCGCTTCTGGGGGTGCTAGAGTTCGATATGATTGCGCAGACCCGGTTTTACAGGGTGTTGCAGGCAGGTTTATCAGCGTGGGTTGGGGGCCAGGGAAAAAAATATACTGGAGCGACGAGCGATTTCGCTCTGGTAGGCTCTAAAAGTAAAATCGCTCTGGTAAGAACAATAACGGGAGCGATCGCCCGAGAGAAAAATTGCTCCCGTGGTCTGATAAATTGAAATGTACAGTGAGCGCTACATATACACCGTGCAAGCAGCAGCGGCTTAAGCTGGGTTTACACTGACGATTATATATGCAGTCAAGTTGGCGTTTTTCTTTTTTCTACCCACCTCTCTATATATATATATATTCAAAGCTCTTACGTTATCGACAACGAGGCGGCAAACGTTTCAACATTTGACCCGTAGCGTGCACGCGGGGCGACGCGGATACGCATTTTTGCATGTATTAATTATATGCCGCCAGCGTGGTGCCTAAAGCAAAAACGTGCTCTCCCCCTAGGGTGGAGGGACACACCCCTGATTGCTGTTGTCTGATTGGCCACTTGGCAAAAAAACATCCAACTTGCCTGCTCTGAGTTGGGGAAATTAGAACATGCTCTAATCTTCCGACTCGCTGCTATCGATCGGTTGGACGTGCGACTTTTGCATTTACACTGGCGATTGTCAGTTGCCAAACTGCCAAGTTCGTACAATTCGGCAACTCAAAATCGTCAGTGTAAACCCAGCTTATGTATCTGCTGCAGCTGGCGCTGGCTAGATCAACCTGCTGACGCATAATAAAATACAATTGATAATAAAAGTTATACAACAGAGTGTAGAACTAGAAACTGTTAACACTTTCATTCATATTTAAATTTAACTTGACAATAATACCAGCTGAATATTTCAGGCGGCATTTACCAGCTAATACCAGCTAATACAGCTCTTGCCTTGTATTAATCTGCAATGATGTGGTTACAATTGCGTTCATACATTGTCTGTTGAAACTATGAATGATAGTCAATGATAAACTATGCTGACAGATGTGATGTGATGTCACAGACTCACAGGCACACCTCTCTGTGAGACTGTGACAAATTTACTGTGTACTTTCTTATTTTGAGACTGAAAAAAGTTCATACTGTATGTTTATTATAGAGTAACAAAACAATAAGCACTCTAGAAGTAGTGACTAGTGAAGCATGTGTACATGTAGAGAGAGCAGAGTGAGAACCGAGAAGGGGAGTGGTGGACAGAATGGTAGTATGGTACTATGATAGAAATTAGAAGATGGGAGAGGTCAGAGGTGTCGGCGCCTCGGAGGCATATATTGAATGCGAATGGATTCAAAGGATGTTTGGATCATGAGTTACAAGTGTGATTAGTGATATGTAGTAATGTAAATATAATTATAGGTACATGTATTAACAGAAAATTTGACACACTCATGGAATTAATAATACATACTATTTACATTGATGTATCCCCACAAATAAAATAAGAGTACATTATATTACGTATTTTTCGAAAGTTTGAAACTGGTAAATTTTTGACAAGTCAGAAAAATGGCTCTGGTGAAAAAAAAGTATTTTTTACCCTGGCACTTCCGGCAGTATCCTGGGGGACATAGACCCTATGAGCGTTAGTTTATTGAAATTTTTGGCCATATTTGACCATGGTCTGAAAGTGTGTTTTTTCTCTTCCAGTTATGTTGAACATGACTGAAGAGGACTACACACAACACTACTGGCCTAAGATTCAGAAAGCTGTTGACCAGTCTCTGTCACCTAATCGGTCAGCAAGCATATACTACGAAGAGGTCTACAGGTGAAAAAAGCTGTTTAATTGTTGCAGTACATAGATATGATATACTAACTAGTCATATACTCGGATAATCAAAAGTTGGATAATATGTAATATTAATGTTATGTAATGTTACATATATAATGTTAAAAAGCTGTAATATGTAATTGTTATTGACCAGTTATTTAAAAACGGTAGGCCCAAATATTTATCAAATTCTGTTGGAAGTGTAAAACAGGCTTTATTAAATAGCGTCCTTTCTTTGATGCCTGCAGTAATATGGCAAATTCTGTATTTCTAGCTGTGTGTACAAGTGTGTATGCAAGCAGTTTGCTGAGCGTCTGTACAACGACCTTATGGTGCACATATGCAGCTACCTGGAGAGACTTTCCTGCAACCTATCTCACGTAAATCTATAGCCTAGTAAATGGCGTGCTATAAACTAGATCAATCCTATTATATAAATGTGTTAAAAGGTTCATCGAACTGCTCGCTACCCTGGGGTCGTCTGGCTAGGGATAGCCTCACGTTGATAACATGCTGGCAGGAGTAATGTGATTGTCTTCTATCCATCCCGGAATTTCTACCCGTATGTTGAGTACATATGGTTGGATGGTGTTTAGATTGTGGATCCAGTAAGCTTCTCTTTTCTTTCTGATGTGGATCGTATGTGGCTGTGCAGGCTGAGGGGGGTCTGAGAATATTTTTTCAATGCTCCTGCACTGAAAGTCCACTGGGGTGTGATTGTCGCTGCTCGCTGCCTCCCCTTAGTTTCGGGGGGAGGGCAAGTCCAAATCCATGAGTGTGGTGATAAGGGTGCTGCTGGACTCAGATCCGTGGGATGCTGGGCCGTCCTGGTCTGGTGAATTTAAGGAAACGTGTGAAGAAGAGGCCTGGACAGCCAATCCTATTATATAGCTATCCTATATATATAGCCTATATATAGCTATTCTATATATTGTATATATATGATCGTATTATATTATCCTATTATGTCGATATTCTTGAATGTTTAGTTTAGGTATTAGATTTATGTTTTATGTATTCTTTAATAGCTCTCGCTTATTGAATATACATCCTATTAAACACATCATTCTCTCAGCAGGGAAAAAATTAAAATTAATTTTTCGGGGGCTACTTTTCAAGCTTGCGTGCATGAAAATAGCACTCTAAAATTTGGTTTGCATTGAACTCTATGCAAATTTACGGGGGCTCTTTTTGGCATTTCGGGGGCTAAATCGCCCCGAGCCCCCGTGTATTTTTTCACTGATTCTCTGTATTGGCGAGGTCCATACAGATTAAAAGAATCGTGTTGACTGGTACATAAACACTGATTCTGACATTTCTCTCAACAGATTGAAAATTCAGTCAACTATATCAATAGTTTCCATTCTGCAATGAACCACTACACCAAGTGTCTCGATGGAATAGTGCCAATATTTAACTATATGGTAAGTTACCGGTCATGTCGGTTGATCTTACTTATAGACTGGTTTTGCATAGTTCTCATATTAGTGTACAAAGGTTAATAAACTTCATGATGTTTAGCTATAGAATTCTTGTCGAAGGATATAAATCATCCAGATATGCTGTAAATCAAACAAAAGTGGTACACATCACAAGGAAAAGCTGGATTTTATCAATAAATTCCGCTAAAATTCTGAAATGACTTGGTAAATTTCACTTGTTTAATGGAGAATGTCAGTATTATATGGATATATATATATATATATATATATATATATATATATATATATATATATATATATACTGTATCAAGAGCTAATAATACCTAGAGTGCTACAACGGAAAACGGGGAAATAGTGCTATTTCACGACTACATTATTCTACTTTGCCTGCGAGTCTAGAATAATTTCATGGTATTGCATTAAGCAGAAATTCTTTGCTCTCTAAAACAAGACCAACCGCTTGTCAATACGATACTCCTAGGCGGAGATATCGGCTCGTAAACCTCCCCTCCACATGCCAAACGCCGCCTCGAATCCACTTCTGCCAGCATCCTACACGCGGCTAAGCGTTGCTTCGTGAAAGTTCGGTTTTTCCGCGATAAATTATGAATGACGGTGCTCGGTTATCATAGGTGACATTCGGGGGCATCGCCTATGCCCTTATCTTCCATTATCTTTCCTAGCACGGCTAACGCCCGTCATGATGGAGCCGGCTCCAATCAAGTTTTGTACAACGCAGCTCAGTTACTAAGTGTAGTAACAGTACCAAATTTGGGCATATGACATCAATTATCAGCGCTCCAAGTGGTGACGGAAACCGATAGCCAAAATGCTTACCCGCGTGTAGGATGCTGGCAGAAGTGGATTCGAGGCGGCGTTTGGCATGTGGGAGGGGAGGTTTACGAGCCGATATTTTCGCCTAGGAGTATCGTATTGACAAGCGGTTGGTCTTGTTTTAGAGAGCAAAGAATTCTGCTTAATGCAATACCATGAAATTATTCTAGACTCGCAGGCAAAGTAGAATAATGTAGTCGTGAAATAGCACTATTTCCCCGTTTTTCCGTTGTACACTCTAGGTATTATTAGCTCTTGACTGTATGTATGTCTTTTACAGTGCCAATGTAGTAGTGCTAGGTCCAATATCGTCGTATTGAATACAGACTATACAACATTTTCCAGTGATTCACCAAAATCAGTTGTGCGGTGTTTCACAAAATTCTTGTGTTTTTTTGCAGAGTCGATTTTACATAGAGAGCAAATTGCGGGTCAATCTGAAACAGGAGTTGCTGAGAGCGTTCACGCACGAGGTCGGACAGAAGCACATTCTCAGGCTGCTGGGTACGAACGATAATACAACTGTACGTCACAACGCGTAGTTTATATTTCGCGCATCACTCGTGGCTGACAGAACAACCCAAGTGCGTTTGGCGGATTGTGCTAGTCGGAAGTGTGAAATTCAGAGTTGAAACTCATATCTGGTCTTTAATTTTTGCAAACAGTTCGGTAATTAGACCATTATTTCCATGGTCTGTAATTAGTTGTGAATCCATGAATACACAATGGTTTATTGTGAATTGAGATGATGATGTCGTGTCGTGAAAGTTGTTGGACCTTTTAATCTCAGCGCATTACAAAATCACTTGTATCGCTTAATTGTTATTCAGCTGTTATACCAGACCTTCAGGCAAAGCCATTTTCCATCGCGCCGTCTACCATGGCAAGTCTCGTGAAGAATCTATACACACTGCAGCCAGGTATGCGTACTTCTGTGCAGAGTAAACTTATTAGAATCAATGCTGCTGTGTGAGAAAGCCATTGGAGGCATTCCATCACCTTATCCTGGTTTTGCTGCAAAAGTGAAGTGAGGCGGCCAGAGATACTTGGGAATTTTACTAGACTGCGGTTCGTTGCCAATGCCTGTAAGTGTGAATTTGACACCCAGGTTTTTCTGCTATTGAACGGTGGAGTAGTGTAACCAGCTTCTTTGCAGCCTTTACCCCTAAATATTTTCTCAGAAATAGTTTTATATTATATAGATTTTCTATATAACTTCAGGCCATTTTTAATAATGATTATTTGAAACAATTCCCTCAAAATGGATCCAGAGAGCACCAAACACTGCCAAATAGAAATTTCTCATGCCTCAAACCTCAGCTGCAAAATTCGGTCTCATGTATAAACTACCTCCTTTTAAAAAAAACCTGACACCTTTGTGCGATTTCCATTATTGAGATGGAGCGATACTAATGGAAATGTTGTCGTTGTCTGTAGAGTTTGCGTCGTTGGCACCGGAGGTTTTCGCCAAGTTCATTCCCAGGATAATGCCGCCTACAAGCTTGGCAGACCTGCCAACCCTGGTTCAGGAGACCCAGCAGATGCAGCATGACCTAGAACACAGACAGGGTTTCACTAGGTAGGCCATGCAATATGTAGATAATGGTATAACATGTCACCGATATAGTCACATGGCTGAAGAATACCATTTTGGTAACTAATTCCGTGGTCCAGTTTGTAAATGAGTATTTAAGTTTGGCGCGCACAAGCTGTCAATCTGCGATGTGTCTCTGTCACGTTCTGTTGTTTTCTGTAGGTATGATCGGCATTTAAAGAGGCAAGGAGATGACGATGTTCTACGTAAGTTCGGCATGTTATTGCTTTCTTTTTTACCCCCTTAAACATTTATCATATATGGCAAATCAAAAGCACATTATACTAATATTTGTTTATAGGACTACTATAATATTATAAACTAACAGTTTATCTGCTATTGGTCAGTTATAAATTCCATGAAAATATTGGGGATTTCAGGCAGTTGTAAAAAAATACATAATTTTTTCATTTAGTCTGTTCAGTATATTATTAATGTTTAT